CTACAGTATTTTACAACTGGTAAATCAAATACACACATGATAAATATATAGATTTCACCTAAATCTTACAAACTGGAGCTTTAATGGTTGTTGAGTAAAATATCGATCAAGTTGATTTAAACTAAAACGTGAGAAATAAAGGTTTTTAAAGACGGTTATAGACACATAAGAATAATCCTATCATTAATTTAACCCTGTGAAAGAACAGCTCCTCTTGTTCATGATTTAGCTAAATGAAATGTTTTGATCCTCAGCGGCCACCGTAAACCAGCATCGTGTGTACTTTTACTTCTGTTTTGCATAATACATACACAAGAGTTCAAATAAAAAGAGTACACATTAAAATTGTTGTCTCGCAGGTTGTCATCTTCAGACCGGGCCGGGTCGTTAAAGGACGAGCTAAAGGTCCTGGTAACCATCACGTGTTCTACGAACACTGTCAATCTGATGACGGCCCCAGAGGTCAAAGTTCAAAAAGCTCGAGCACACGCGATGATGTCACCATGTTCTTCTGTGATGTCACCACTCTAGAAGCCTCCCATGATAAAATCAAAAAACTGCAGATACAGCTGCATATTTCTAAAAGGACGAGTTAGAGAAATAGTGGTTGAAATAGTTTGAAGTCTGCAGGAGTTAAAAGTGACGCAGGTGTTTCCACGGTTCTGGTTCATCCCCTGGCTGCATGTCATCATAGACTGTATATAAAGGATGTCATTCAGACAGTTTAACTTCTTACCTAACTTCTTACCTTGATTCAAGCAGCTGCTGTCACATCTGCAGAGAACTTTAGGTTCCATGGAGTCACTTTGAAAACCAGGACGCTCATGTTCACATCACTGGAGATTCCAAAGAGTTCAGACACAAGAGAGGCGGAGATAAAGAGGTGGAGCGCGTCAGGGTGCAGCAGCTCATCACAGGAAATGTGACAGAGAAAAGTAAATGGAGCAAAAACAAAGTACGAACAACCGAAGTTCAAACTCTGAAGACAATGATTCAAAAAGTCCAGAGAAGCAGTAAAAGATCCAAACATTGTCCAAAGTGAAACTTTCTCAAGCTGCAGTTTGTGTTTGAAATCTAAATCCACATTTTAACCTGATGTCTCTCTACGAGACTCACCTCCGTCCGCAGGTCCTGACGGCCGACGCCGTGGTGTTTTACCGGGTGGTGGACCGGCTTCTGTGGGTGATGCGGGTGAAAGACGGCTCCGAGGTGGTCCAGAGACGCTGAGGGCCACGATGGATGGAGGTGGGTGAAGTGATCAGACACCGGAATAACAACGTCCGTCCTGACTCAACATACAAGAATGAAAGGTGATTCACAAATAAAACTTTTCTTTGAGGGTAAAAACTGCAATAATGGAGTTTCAGCTTTTTAAATTATTTGCCAGTAAATGTAAATAACCAAGCACGGGCGAGATTCTTTATCGTCCATGGATCCAGTTTTATATTTAAGGCTGCAAATGTTGGAGCGATGCTCATTGTGGAAACCTGCAGGAGGTGCTGTCCACAGCGTCCAGGTGGAGCTGAGGGACCCGACGCTTCCTGTCAACCTGCAGCGCTGCATGGCCTCAGAGGCCGAGGCTGCCAGGAGGGCCCGGGCACAGGTACATATATATACACACACACAGACACACACAGACACACACTCTGTGCGCCATGTGCTCCCTGTCAGCTTCACTTCAACAGATTTGTGTTCCTCGCCTGCTCTCGGTCTGAGCTCCTGCTGTCCCTAAAGTGGATTCAGTGGAAACAGGAGCAGAGGATCATGGAGGCTTCAGGTCTCCAGCTGCTGTTTTTTATTTTACAGGAATCCTTCCTCTCAGTTTCATGAAGGTCAGTTCAGTAGGTTTTGTGTAATCTTGCTGAAAAACAAACAAGCAGCTCGTGTTAAAGCCCTTCTCATTTTATCTGCTGTCATTTCTTGTTTTGTCCCAAACACCAATGATCTCCTGGATCTCCTCTGTACCTGCTGGTGTGTGAAGTGTTTTAAACGTTTCTCTCTCTGTTGTTGAAGATGTTTGCGGCCGAAGGAGAAGTGCAGGCGTCTCGGGCTTTAACGGAGGCAGCGTCCGGTCTCTCTCTTTGTCGTCTGTCTCCAGCAGCGCTTCCGTCGTGGTGTTCTCCGTCCCCACTGAACTCCTGGACATGTTCCTCTCCCATCAGCCCTAGCTGATTTCAGTGGTCAGAGGTCAGAGGTCACGGTGAACTCCAGTGTGTGGACTCGATATTAACAACCACGGGATTGTGACAAAAAACTAAAAACGGACATGTTTGGAGAACTGATTTGTGGAATTTGGTGCAGATCAAAATAAAAACGTGAATCTAGTGAATTTGAATGTGGGACTGTGACGCTCGAGTTGCCCCTCCCCGCTGCGCTGACTGATCCTCACAGAGACATGAAGTGATGGCGGACCCTCCTCCATGTTAACAACTGAAAGTCCAGCTCATGGTGTCAGAGAGCGGATGCATGTCGGATCCTATTATCATGACCTCAAGCTGCAGTTTAACACTCATGAATATATTCGGGCCCGTCGGTTGAGCTGCGATTATCTCGGCAGCTTTGGCTGAGGACTCTTATAATAGAACATCAGACCAGAACGTCCAGATTTACATTTGTGTTCTAATCCTGGTTTTCATTTTTCCCAGTCAGAGCCTGAAAGAGCAGAAACATGTTGGATGATAGAGTCAAGCATCAAAACCTTTTAATGAGAGAAACGATCTGAGCTCCAACGTCCACTGACGAGGGTTCGATCGCAGGTCAGAGTCTCCGTGTGTCTTCAGGTGTCATGTGACCTAAAGAGGAACATCAATATATTATTGAGTAAAACTGAAGCATCTCAGAGGAAATAAGAGCAAAGACTAACTGAGAGATCTGAGGTTCCTCTTGAACTGCCGTTCATTTCATTTAGACTTTAAATCCAAGATACCGTGTTTCTAGAGTCTCTCACTAGAATATAAAGGAAGCAGCAGTTTTTATCAACTGAACTAAGTCGCACTAGATGAACGGACAACGCGTCCAATTTTGTCAGAAGATCAAAGTTCAGGAGCTGGAATATTAACCAACATGTTTCTGGGACTGTCTTCTCACCGGGGTCTTCACGGATCTTAGTGGGAAATGGCATCAATGTCAGGTCCGGCGATGAGAGGGCGCGGCCTCCAGAAATAAGCTCTTTAACGGAGCAGAACATCGTGACCTCACGCTGATCTGTCATCTGCTGCGTCACAGTCCGTCGCAGGTCTGCAGAGCTGAAAACACACGTTCGTATTCTCTTAACTACAAGTGTGTCAAACAAGTCGATTATATTATGAACATTACAGCATTTGAATTCCTCCTGGTGATGTTTGCAGTTAACGAGGATACGAGAACAAATCTTGTACAGGAACTGAAATAGTTTGGATTGTGCAGAGGACAGTTAGTCCACAGTCTCTCTCCGTCTCTGACTTCACGATTTCAGTGTTTAACTCAGTTTCACTGCTTTTGAAGCGTGTCTGCGTTCGGGGCCCTGCTCTCTCCGTCCATGTTAAATTACATGTGTTCTTGCAGAAGTACAGTGAATACAGGGCAGCATGGGCTGGGTGCCGTGCGGTCAGAGTCTGTGGAGCTATTAATAACCGGCGCTGGTGAGGCTCCAACTTGTGTCGGAACACAGATTTCCCACCATCGTGGTTTGAGCCCCCTGAGCACAGAGGAGGAGAAGCTGAGCTGACTTTTTATTTTCTCATCTCATGCTCTCCGCTGTCCTTTGTTTGGTTTCAATTATAAAATGTAGTTTGAAGAGAAGTGAACATTAAACAACACAAGCTGCAGAACAGACTCAACTTTAATCTCCTAACTTTACTCTGAGGATTCACGCGTTATGTGTCATGTTATAAATCTGGAGAGAAAAACTGTACAATATGAAAACGATCATTTCATTATCGAGGCCAAATTAATTCAACATCATCACA